GTGTGTGTGTGTGTGTGTGTGTGTGTGTGTGTGTGTGTGTGTGTACATCTGTGTCTGTGTATATACATCTGTGTTTGTGTGTCAGTGTGTGAGAACATGACAGATTAAAGAATAGCTTGACCTTTAAGTCATGTTTAGTTGTTCCAGACGCACAAATGCATTGTAAAAAATACTGTCAGCAGTTTAAAACTAATTTCTGTGCAGTGGCTGAACACACGGTTTCTAGGTTGTTCTTAACTTATTTTACTCAAACAGATAACTTGTTATTTTCAGTGCAGAAAATGTCATTTAAATGGGTTAAGGACCTCAGACTGCTGCTCCTTTATTACAGAGAATGTTTCTTAATAGCCATTTAAACTCAATACATGTTGGAATTTCATCACAAGTCTCTTTGGTCTTTATAAATCAAAAGAAGAGTAAAAACAAAGCCTTTTTTCAGAGTTACAAACTTTCACTTTCAGACTTTAAAGTTTTTCATTTGTGTCTCTCGTTTGTCCTTGGGTGAGTTGTTTTGCAGATATCCTTACCTTCACACTTACTTTCTAACCGTACACACACACACACACACACACACATATGCAAGTAAACCATAAATCACGACTCCCCATTTCTAATAATGCACGATAACAGATGGAGTCCAATGTGGTACTTTATTGTCATACACACAGTATAACTGTACCGGATATTAAATCTGAATAGATATAGAATGTTATGTTATAAAAAACCCATTAAATGTAATTACAATTAGGTTACTTTATTGTCTTCCGTAGGAGGAAATTGTGATTGTGTCGTCTTGAACTGAAAAACTTGCTGCTTCAAACGAAACCAAAAATTAAAAAAACAAAAACAAAGAAACACTTTAATGAACGCAAACCTGCAGGAGCTATGTTAGAAGCTTATATTAACCTTTGCAAATGTGAATGTAACACTAATTGTTACTTCTCATACCTTTACACATAGAAAATGACAACTAATGCAGCTGTTGTCATTGCTCCACCCTGACTTAATAAGAAAGGCATTAAGATTTGGGCAATAAACAATTCACAAAAAGCATTATGCAAATAACATCGTTTCAAATAATACTTGCAATTTAGTGCACCAGCTAAAAGGCCAGCATCCAAATCTACTTAAATAATTTAAGCTGATTACCTAATAATAACATTAGCAGGCTACTCAACAACCACCCTTAAATTTATATAAGTCATTATGCATGTAAACAAAATATAATGATAACATTTTTTTAAACTATGCCATGATTTCCAAATGAAGGTGTTTATCTTTAAATATTGTGATATTTATTTTGCTTGTTTAAATTGCCTGTCTAATCTGTCTAATGATGCTACTATTACCGTAGTTATTATCATTATTATTACAAGATTTTGTGACTGTGACGTCTCCACGAAGGAGGTCTAGGGGTGTGAGTGTGGGGACCGGTAACAAATGGGAACGGAACGGAATGAAAAGGAAACCAGACAAAGGTGTTCAGCACATAATATGGCTTTATTACAAATAATCTTAACCTAAAGAGCTGGCAAAGCCGTTTTACCAACAATGCCAAAAAAGCAAAGGAAGCAGTCGCAGCAACGAAGGAAAAAAACTACCAAACAAATAAAGGAGGCACTTCCCACTTAACTCCTCACCACGGGGAGACACTTCCGGGGCCCACAGGCCCGTCTACTCACTCAACATAAAACCATGGGCAGGACAAATATGCAGTGGGACCTTTCCAACACCTAGAAAGACAGTGTAGAGCCACAAGGGAAAATCCCCCCACACACAGTTCATCCCCAGCCCATATTATCTCCGAGAGGTGATTGCTGGCTGGGTCCAGGTGCCAAACGAGGGTAATGAACAGCAGGTGTGTCGTGGAGAGAGGGCAGAGTGAAAGAGGGACAGAGGGGTGGGAGGAGCAAGAGAGGCGGAGACAGAGAGAGAACACCACACCCACACAAAGCCAATATCAAGAGGAGGCCCTGCTAGGGCTGTAACAGTGACGTTATCACTAAAGTTAATGCAGTTCATCTTGAGAGGCATGTGCATGTCTTAACAAAATCCAGCGGTAACCCATGCAGAGGTTGAGATATTTTGTCTGAATCAAATCAATCAAATCCAACAGGCTTATCATCCATTGCACTACTCTTTGTGTAGCACTGTCTTTAAATGCCTTCTCGGCAGCTGCACACGCAATAGGGGGTACAATCCAAGCTTGAAAATGTCTTGCGTCTTTTTTAACCTCACTGCTACGATATTTTGCCCTTTACAAACAACCGCACATTGCTGTGAAGTCTCTATTATCATTTCTCAGAAAAAGCATCGCCAATAAGAGGATGCAGTTCTATACACTGAAGAGTTGCCAGACCATTTGTATCCTGTCCCCAAATATTGCAGTGCTAAGAAGCTGTGGTGTGAGCTATTGATTAGTTTTTAAGTTTGCCTGCAAGACTGCATCCGTTGCTATATAAAATATCATCAATAAAGGGTTGTGGTGCCAAGCATTGATTAGTTTTACAGCAGCTGTGCAGGTTCCTTTTCCGTATTAGGCATCACCAATAAAGAACGGTGTGGTAGCATATTGATTAGATGTTTTCTAGATCAATAGGTTGAAAAAGGAAAAGCAAACCAAACAAAAGGCAGAGCTTTGAAAAAGTTATTTTATTCAAACATTATATACATTTAGTTTTGTTCTTCATTTGGCTAGCAGCACTGTGTCTCTCTCCAAAACACTGTCACTATAAGTGGTGGTGGTGTAAGCTATTGATTGGAAATACACCAGTTTATCGTAATTAAATGTATCTGTGTTTTCTGATGCAGTGACAACAGTTAGGAGAGAAAGAAGAAGCCAGAATCTGTGTTTGTGTGCGAGTGTGCAAAAGTGCTGTGTCAGGCCAAAGAGATGCCTCAGAGCTCAAACACCAGATGGTCAATTCTGAAAGTGGAGAGTGCTGACCCGAGCCCCACTGAGCACACACGCGCACGCACTTTTCATCACTTCAGAGGTCTTTGTCATGATGCACATTTATTTCCTATGGAATTATTGTAACACTAATCACAGTTACCATGAACAGTATCTCACTTTAAATCTAATTGTTTCATTATTTATTTTTTTGATTCTGTGGACCAAATTTCTGCAGCCAAGCAGAAAAGATCCGCACAATGTGAGCAGGTAAACAGGTGTCCCACATGATGAGACGCTTTAAATGTACACAACCAATAATACTATAAAGAAAATCGAGGAGGAAATTCTGCACATTTGATGGTGTAGAGGTAGTAATCACAGTTGGATGCCATGTGTAACTCGAAACACCAGAAAGCTTTTCTCTGTCATGGACCCTGAGTTATTTTGCCCGAGTTTTGAGTTCTTATATTAATACTTGGACTTTGTTTTGTTTTTTTTGCTGTTTTGACTTCTTTTTGAGTTTTGTTTTGTTTTTATGTAGCTGGTATTCCCTGGCTAGTTTCCTCATGATTACATTCTCTGTTTAGTCTTTAAATTGTAGTTTTTGTCATTAAATTTCTGTTTATGGTCAGATTTATAGTTTATATTTAATTCCTTGAGTTTCCCTGTTTCTTGTTAAATTTGCATCTCTGTGTCAGATGTTGTCCTGTTAAGTTACTTCCTGTTTTACTGGTACACAGTAGCTGTTATTTTCTGTGTCTTTTTCCTTTTTTTTTTTTTTTTTTTTTGTCATCCTTGATTAGTTTCAGTGGAGTCTAATTATCCTTCTGCGTCCCATCTTCCTGATTACCTATTTTGTATTTAAGCCCTCAGTTTGCATCTATTCTTTGCTGTGTTGCATTGTGTAGTCTGCGCATTTGTTTCTCATTTGTTCCTGTAGTGCATTCCTTGGACTCCTCTGGCTTCTAGTGACCCTTGTAATCTTTGTGTACTTTTTTTTGTTTCCCTTAGAATTTAATCATCCTTGATAAATATCTTTATTTGTATTCTGAACTCTGACCTTCTGCATTTGGGTGCACATTTACACCCACTTACACTTGCGTACAAAGGCAGCTGGCAGAAATCAATTAGAGAAACTGTCTTGTCCAAATAACATAAAGACCTGGATGAACTCCTTCTAAAATCAGACAAAACAGAGATTATTGTAATTGACCCTAAATATTTTTGGAAACATGTTTAACCATAGTTACTCATTACTTTGCATTACTTGAGCTCAAGAGACAGACAACTTCTTTATTTTGAAGATGATTGTGCGATTAAAAAGTTTGATTCTATTGACTGATGATAATTATGTGTAATTATGCATTTGGTACTTCAAATTGTCACGTTACTGTACTGAGCTAAACTGTTCCGTGTACAAGCTGTTTCCATCGAACTGCTAGGCAGAGTCAGTGAGTTGGGATTTACAGTCTGGGCTGCCCAAATTCCCATAGTACCAGCAACAAGATGGTCATAAGCCATCTTGACAGTCTACAAAGGATAGTTAGCTTGGGTGTGCAGACTTTCATGGCCCAACAGTTTGACTGAATTGTCAAGAATTTTCCCAGAACTGAGACAGAATTTGCATTCATCAGTCAACTGAAGCCTTTCTTCCAGCATGCAGGCATTGCTAAGCTTTTCCAGGACACTGAGCAGTGTCATTTCTAAATAAATGTGCTTTATAGACTCACCATACTTCCATATCTCCACAAGACATGTCACATGTGATTCAAGCCCATGCCATTTTCAAAAGTAAATTAAAAATATACTAAATGTAAGAAAATAAATGAATACATGATAAATGAATAGTCAAGGGGAGAAACCTACAAGTGTACAACTGTAGACATGTGGCAGTTGTAAACATTAGTACCACCATTCATCATTTTGGTTTTAATATGTTCAAAAAG